GCTACCTCTCGGCATCTCAGCACTCAGGCCGCAGGCGGCCAGGTAAACCCCGTTGTACAACCATTTGTACGTGGGGATGTAGTGTTTAGGGACAAATTCCCTAACCCCTGTATCAGGGTTCGCCTGGATAAACACTTTGAAGAGTCCTCGGTCCAGGATCTCTTCCCTGGCTTGTTGAGGAACAGGCGGCAGGTCCGAACCACCGCCTGTTAAGTAAGGTGGGTTCCGGTTCGACCTGTTGTATTTCTTATTTTGGATTTTATTGGGACTTGAGACTATGAAGAAGGTGTTGCGCCAGTCTTTCCATTTGTTCTCCTTCCCCATAGTCATCATATAGCCTTTGTGGCTATTTATTTGGTACCATCCGGTACCGCTTGCTTTGGGGGTCCGGCTCAAATAATTCATATGGGCGAACGCCTCAAAATTGGCGTCCACCCCCTGCATTTCACAGGCGGCCACGTACCCCAAGATGTTGAACCATGAGTTAGGGGCAAGCTGCCAAAGGCCCAGCTGGTAGCCGTCTAAAATCCTCTCTACCGCCGGATGTAGAGGAAACCTTAGGCCAGCTTTGATGGCCGCTTCGTAGCAACCAAAGCACTCGTCCCCGTAACTTGCCGCCTCTGGCAAGACGACTGTATCTTCCGGGTCCGACACTGACAAAAAATAGTCGCCGCCCATAAAGTAGTCGGCCCTGACGCTTGCCAGCTTGTCAAGCATGGTCTTGCGCCTGCCAGACGAAACATGGCAGTAATACGGGGTGTGCGACTCTCTTCGAGAGGCAGCCGGATCTGCCCAGTCGTCCCCCTTTTCGGTTGCATGACTGGCTCTCGCCTCATGCAGGCGAGAGTGCCTTTCTTCTGAGTCGACAGAAAGCCGACTGGAGGTGCTCGCTTCCGAGTCACTTGAGCTCTCGGCCAGATCGGCCGCCTGCCCAGATATATCTATAGACAAGGGTTCATTCCCAGCCTCATCCCCTGATTCTCTTAAAATAGAATCACTGGGGGTACTTGGGGTCCCATGCGGCTGTTCTGAAAGCTCCTCCCGAGAGAAAAAGGAACCGTCTGAATTTGAGTACCTTGCAGTCTTTTTCGTCCTTGCCATGGTGTCCTGCACACAGACACAGAGACAGCCGGACTCCTAGTTCGCAAAGGGTGGTCCATCAAGGGGCATTCGACACTCCTAGTTCTAGATTCAGCCATCCCCGGTGACCGGCTGATCACTAACCTAGGCCGTGCCGGGTGCTTTAGGGCTACCATTTTCGAAAAAATATAATAGAAAAGCAGAAAGTACAAGGAAAAAGTGCAAGGAAACAGGCGGTTACCTGTTAAAATCTGGGAGCGTCTGAAAAAGGTTACAAAAACAGTCGGCCTGAAGGTCGAGTGGTCCTGAAAACAGTCGTTCTTTCAAAACAGCCGGATGTCTTAAAGGCAGAGCAGGCGTCCTGTTTTTGTTTGTCTGAAAATTATGGTAATTATTGCAAAAATTTGGACATCCCCTATTTATAGGGGGGTGAATTCCAAAAGTCAATGTAAAAAAAAAAAAACAAAAAAAAAAACGGTAAAAAAACCGTTACCCAATCGAAAAGGTGACACCTGTCACAGGCGCCACGTGGCACGCCACGTCACCCCTGTGAGGGGCAAATGATTTGGGAATTTTTCCCCGCCACGTGGACCAATCATGTGTTGCCATGTGTCCTCCACGTGGACCAATCGAAGTCTGCCACGTGTCACCTCGTAAGAGGTCCAAAGTAGACCTATCAGGCCATGACACGTGGAAGACAGAAAGACCTGTCAGAAAAGCAGCCTGCAAACGGCCCAACTTCCCAGGCAAGCCCAGTCAGTCCTAGGTTTCCCAGAAACCTAGTATTGGGCACAGTCTCCCAGACTATAAATAAGGTGTTTCCTCCAAGGGAACACCTATTCAGAAATTTCTAAACACATTCAGGGAGCTTCATATCACATCTGATAGGCGCTCTCACCTACTCTGACTCTCAAAGTAGAGAACTTGTCAGTTACCTGACATCCCAGACTAAGCAATCATACATTGCAGATCCTCTCTTGAAACCCAACGGAGACTCTTTACTTTCCGCATTTAACTCCTCAAACACGTTCTAACTTGACCGTTGGAGGCGGAGCTCCCATCAACCGGAGTCTCCGTTATTTTGCAGGTACAGGCGTCCGGAAGTCAGTCTTGGATTTGTAACTCTCCCGCAGGACATCAAAAAACCCCGAAACAAGCAAAATTATCAATTAAGATCAAACTTGTAAACTTATGATGAGCTGGGGCATCGCTTACTCCTAAATATTGTACTGTTAAACTGTTTGATAAATTATTTTATTTTCAATACGCAATTATTATACTATTAATAAACATTACTTTCCATTTCAAAAAAAAAATATACATTGAAATTGTTTGATAAATAATTTTTTACTATTATTGATGAAATAATTGTATAATAACAATTACATCATTTAATATCGAATTGTGTGACATTATTATCTTGTTTTAACTCAAAATAAAAAAAATTCATTTCATTTGTACTCTGATAATAGTTGTTCATCAATTTGTGATTCACTTGACACTGTTCAATCAGTGAATAGGTTATTTTTAAGTACGTAAATGGGGTTATTATTTTGTAAGGTAATTCGAATATAGTTTGACACTTATACTTGTTTTGCAATGTATAAAAGTAACAACTTATATTAGTATATTTGTATCCGTTAGATGACTTAGATCCCCTCTTAATCAAATAATTTGTCCCTTTCCCAATTTGGTTCTTCTTCTTAGTTCATTTATTAGTAACCATTTATATAAATAAACATTTATTAGCAACCATTTATATATATAAAGGGGATCGATATTCACTCTAACAAAACATTTACAAAGGTATAAGCTATTAATATAGTTATTATATATAATTATAAATATAAATAAACGATATAATTGGGGTTATTTATTTATTGCTTTTACTAACCACTCGTTACTAAAAAAAGTGTGATTGTTACTAAAAAATTATCAAACTTTGGATAAGTCAGGGACGTCGCAAAATACAAACTTGATAAACACAATGGAGTTTTTTGCACTTGAAATAATTATGTAGTGAATGATGTGATATAAAAAAGGGAGTATTTTCCCGAGATTATAGAGTGTCATGTAGGATTAGAATTATTAAAAATATATAAGGATAGTTCCTTCTGGTTTCAAAAAAAACAAAAAAAAAGGATAGTTTTTTCACGAGATGATACAGCGTCAAGTAGGATATAATTATCTAAAAAATTTATAGCGCCACGTGGGATCCACACATGATAGAGATTATATGGCGCCAATTCAAGTAGGATTATAATTAGTCAAATTAGCGAGTGGGATTTTAGAGTTTAAATTAATTATATATCATAAGGTCATATGTATAATACACCTTTTATTTTTACAATACACCTTTTGTTTATTAATATAATACATCAGGTTCTTTTCATCTTTTGTATCCAACACATTTTAATTTAATTATAAATCAATATTTGGTAACTATGTACTTAATAACACTAGAATTTGGACATTTTAGTATGTTTGCATTTTTTCTAGTAACAGAACCATACTGATTTGTAACTACTCTTATTAATATATCACAAAAGGCCGATATAATAAGTTTGCAAAATGTTACAAGGCAAATTTCGTAATATTCGTTAATAATTTTGCAAATTTGGTTAACAATGATGAACATAAAAATACAATAATTGTATATTATTTCAAGTTCGATCCCTTCCTTACGTATATAATTTAGCCTATGTCCAATCCCGTGTGGTTTATTGTGATATAGCAGTCACTATTCACTGCCGAATACGTCATTTAAATCGGCCACCACCCAAATTCAACACCGCACGCCATTACCGCAGCCGCTTGCAACACTAGTGTAAAATTATCCCCATTAGTATCACTGCTTCGTAACTACCATTAAATTGGTGAAAAAATATCGAAGATTAACATCAAATCCATACAAATTACCTAGTATGTACTTCAAGAAAAAGATCTAGATCTTAAATTACAAGCTCTAAAAAAAAAAGAATTCAACGTAGTAATCCCCAAGTTTGAAACAAAGAAAGGAGAAGAGAGAGAAATTTGAACCCACCATCCTTTCACATGAGTATTTGTACACAAAATTGAGGACATGTACAAGAGTTTTGATCCTAATCTGAAAAACCCAAAAACATGGTGGCTGAAAGAAAATTTTAAATAAAAACTAAAACTGAATCGAACATGGTGGATTGTTAAACAAAACCAATTTTCTTTAACTTGGATTGAACAAACTCGCAAATTCAAATATTTAGTTACTTAACCGGAAAATTTGCCGGCGTTAGTAAATTTTGTCATCTTCTCCGGCAGTTTAAGCATCATCTCCAACCTTTATTTTTTCTTACTGTAAAATAGAGCTCATAGAAAAATTGAATGATGAAAAGGGTACTTTGAGAAAGAAAAATTGAATTATTATAGTTAAATAGAATATACCGTTTTTTCAGAATTTGATATTAATAATAATGTAGTCGACGGACCAAAATTTTAATAAAATAAAATAAAAATCACAAAATGATGATATCATTTATAGTTTTGAAGGGAAAAGTTCGAATCACGACTTGACATGTGTATAATTTTAAAATAGAATGTGTCAGCGGTACTAAATACGGAGTACTTAGATCTATTCAGCTTAGATAACCTTGTCTTTTAAAAAAATAAAAAAAAAAATTATGTAGTAATCAAAAAATTGTTTCGAACTTAAATTGTTAGGATGTAAGAAACTCCAAACAAAATATTAGTTAGAAAACACCTCAATAAACCTGTCTTAAAAACAGAAAACTTAAAGGAAGTTAATTAATAAACACACGTCTTAGCACCGACTAAAATCCATATATATAAACTCAAAAATAGATTAAAATACGTGACATTTGAAACAAATAAGTAGATGCAGCAAGAATTAAGGATCTATAATATCAACATAAACAACGTCAACAATGGTGGTTAATGATAGGGAAAACACAGAACATGATAACAATATTAACGATTGGCTTTCGATAACGTCGAATCGGACGGCAAAATGGTGGTATTCCGCTATCCACAATATTACTTGTATGGTTGGTGCTGGTATTCTAGGACTTCCTTATGCCATGTCTCAACTTAGATGGTACGTTTTTCGTTTTCAATTATCTTATTTTATGATTGCTATGTATTTTACATTTGCGTGTATATAAATCTAGTTTCAATGCTTTGAAAATCACCTTTAGGATATTTGATCACATTTGTTAATTTTGGGATCGTCATAATTATACAAGTTTCTTTACCAATCATATTATTATTATTGAATTTCTAAATTATTTAAATTAAATAAAAAAAAAATGTGGTAAAATTAATCTTTAGGTGATTTGGGAAGTGGTCATTACAATTTACCTAAAATTAATCTAATGATCAAATAGACAATTAGTTATTTAAAAGTATGCCGAAATTGTTATTTAAAAGTATGCCGAAATTGTTCTAAAGATTTGAGTTGTTTGTCCTACAACTCATGATCAGGCGATCTAAAGTGGTGGATCATCTCATGTTCCTCTAGTGGCCTGGTGCGATATGTAAATCTAAACTTAGAATGCATACATGATCATATATATTTCGTTACACTTTAACATTGTGAAAGGGAAAATATGCTTTATATTTTATGATAAAAAAATAAAGCTAATAAACATCTTATTTCTTGTTTCTGTCTTACACTTAAAATTTTGAAAATCAAAATTTAAAATTTAATTAAAATTGCATGATAATAGGATCTAAAATATTTAATTTAATGATATTATTAGTGAATTATGATGATGACGAACAAAATATAGATGATTGTTAATTTGTTATGTGTTTCAGGAGTCCAGGTGTGACAATATTAGTATTGTCATGAATAGTAACGTTAAACACATTATGGCAAACGGTGGAAATGCATGAAACAGTACCAGGGAAAAGGTTTGATAGGTATCATGAGTTAGGACAATACGCATTCAGACATGTTTTTTTTTTTTTCTTACCTTATTAGGGGCCATATAAGATGCACCCTAAATTTAGTTTTTGTATGAACATGATTTAACATACTTCAATTAATTTCAGTTATTCTGCCATTGCTTGGGTGGCTTCAGCACTAAGAGGAGTACAACCAGACACGGATTACCATCACTCAAGTGCAGGGAATGTATTTGGTTTTTTAAGTGGGTTAGGAACAGTAGCATTTGCATTTTCTGGACATAGTGTTGTTTTGGAAATCCAAGCAACTATCTCTTCAACTCCGGAGATTCCATCAAAAATACCGATGTGGAAAGGATCTCTTCTTGCTTATATAGTTGTGGCTCTGTGTTATTTTCCAATTGCTTTTGTTGGTTACCTTGTGTTTGGTAACAAAGTTGAAGATAACATCCTCATCTCGCTTGAGAAGCCAGGTTGGCTAATCGCTGCTGCCAATATATTTGTCGTTATTCATGTAATCGGTAGTTATCAGGTACAAAATTTAAAACTATGGTTTTTATTGTTATCATGTCCTATATTAGAAAATTGTTTCATTCTCCTTACTACAGTTTACACCTATTTGCAGGTCTTTGCAATGCCAATATTTGACATGCTCGAATCCTTTCTTGTGTTGAAGATGAAGTGTAAACCTAGTAGCATACTTCGCTTTCTAACACGCTCTTCATTTGTTGGTATGTTGTACTACCTCCGTTTTTAGTTAGTAGCACACTTTGCAGTCTAACTCATGACAAATCAAGTACTATCTCCGTTTCATATTATTTGCAACGATTAGTCAATTTCTACTTACACTTTACATCAAATTGTGCAAATACTCTGTAATATGAAACGGAGGTAGAATTTATACAATAGAGTTGTTTATAACTATTTATATACTTTTTCATGCAGCTGTTACCATGTTTATTGGGATAATATTTCCATTCTTTGGCTCGCTTCTAAGTGTCTTAGGAGGAATAGCTTTCGCACCCACTTCATATTATGTGAGTCTCTAACTACACCATATGTAATGCGTATTAAATTTACGAACTTGATCACATATTATCATTTCACTTGACTTGCAGCTTCCTTGCATTATATGGCTAATTATACGCAAACCCAAGAGATACAGTTTATCCTGGTTTTGTAATTGGGTTAGTACTCAACTCCAAGCTCTATCTTTATCCAATTACGGAGTATATTTTTATACTTTCAATCAAATCTTATAAACTTTGTCATTTGTCATTGCAGTTCTGCATCATTTTCGGCGTGTCGTTGACAATATTATCTCCCATTGGAGCTGTAAGGGATATCGTAGTTCAATTCAAAACCTATAGATTCTTCTCTTAATCACTTCTCTAATTGGATCCGGCTATTTTTTTTTAGCGGAACATCTTGTGGTTAATGTTTAATGATGTACTAATGTTTAACTTGGCGTAGTTATGTAGGCAAATTGGTGTATAGGCAACTTGATATGTAACGGCGAATTCTTGTAGTACTAATTTAATCGCCTCTCCCCAGGTTTCACATTACAAAGGCAGTTTGTCTTAATTGGTTTGAATTATACATACCATGATCATTATGGCCATAAGTTTTGATTGTAGTAGTAATGTCGAGGTGTCAAACTAACCCGACTCGATCCAATTCGAAAGTAATTCAATCTAGATTTTGACTTTGTAAACACAATAATTTAACATGATTTAAATTCAAACTAAACTTATTTCAACTGACTCAAATTTTACCATTCTAAATCTTTTTATCCAAGTAAGATCATACAATCTAACAAGCATTTAACACCTATGGTCAAAACAAAACAAAATAAATAATCTAAATATAGAGGTTTTAAAAACTGACCTGACCCAACTAAACTCAACTTAAGTTGTATAGACGTAATAATTTAACGTAGAGTAACACATACTTGAACTAAATCTAACCCAAATAGACCCAATCGAACCCGACCCAAATCGACACCTCATTACAATCATGCATATTTAACCCGCGCAACGATTTTAACCAACTCTATCCATTAGCACCCACCTTACTCCATCTTCCTGAGTGAAGCATTTCTTCACTCTACTCTGCACTAAAACATGCATATCCTTCAAACCTCTCAATTCCTCCCACTCTCTCTCCTCTCTAAAACCCCTCTTAAACCCTCAATTTCCAATCTCCAAAACCCTAATTTCTTCCCCAATTTCTCTCTTCTCTCTTCCTCTTCAACCTCTTCTCTTCTCCCCAAACCCCCCAATGCCTATGCTCCCGATGAAGTCCCGGTTGACGAGACATTCCTCGAGCAATTCGGCCCGAAAGACTCGGAAACCGAGGAAGAAGCCCGAAAGCGGAACTGGGTTGAGCGGGGTTGGGCGCCATGGGAGGAGATTCTCTCTCCTGAAGCCGATTTCGCCCGAAAATCACTCAATGAAGGGGAAGAAGTTGCATTGAAAGACCCTGAAACAATTGAGGCATTCAAGATGTTGAAACCCAGTTACAGGAAGAAGAAGATGGAGGAAATGGGGTTGACTGAAGATGAGTATTTTGCTAAACAGTTTGATATTAAGGGTGAAATTTTGGAGCCTTTGAAGACTTACTGGGATGGCCCGTTAGTTGTTCGTCACGTTGCGCCTCGCGATTGGCCGCCTCGAGGTTGGGAGGTTGATAGGAAGGAGCTGGAGTTTATTAGGGAAGGTCATAAGATGATGGCTGAAAGGGTTGATATCAAGGATTTGGATAATGTGATTAGGGAAAAAGAAGGGATGTCTATGGATAGGTATAAAATGTTTCTTAAGCAATACCAGGAGTGGGTTGAGTATAACAAGGATAGATTGGAAGAAGAGTCTTATGAGGTTGTTTTTCTTTCACTTTCTCTTGTTTTTCTTGCAATAATTGAGTATAATTTCCATGAATTTGTGTTTATTGATGTGTTACATTCGGCTGATTAGAACCCGAATTATATTCCTTTTCAATGCATTTGAATGATTCTATGATTGGAAATTTGCTCCTTAGTTTTTAGATTATGATAGGCCCAATTTAGTTTATGTTGATATCATGCTAGAGTAGGGAAACATTACAATTTTAAGGATAAGGTTGCGTGTATCTACATCTACCACACCAATTTGTAGATGAATCAGGGAGTGTTGTTGTAATTTGTTAGTTTTGTTTGGCATCTTTTGATGAAATTAGGTTAGATCTTTAGAAGTTGCCTATTAATTTATTCGGTTTGGGCTTCAGTTTGTGTAACATGTTTGGTTGGTATGTTGTAACTGTTAATGCTATAGTTTTGCTGTTGTTTCTGAGTTGTAACTAATAAGAATGATTCACTTGTTCATACTGCTTAAGTCTTGAAATTATCAATGTTTATGCAGCATGATCAAGATTATCATCCAGGAAGAAGGAAACGAGGAAAAGATTATGTGGAGGGAATGGTAGGTTGCTGTTTATTGACTAATTTTAACTTAGATGTTGTTACATGACATGTAGAGCCCTTGATTGATCATCAATTTCCATTTTTGCAGTATGAACTACCGTTCTATTATCCTGGACAAGTAAGTTATTCTAGACACTCTTGACTATAACTGTAGATGAAGCTTTCTATTTAAAAGTATGGCTTGATTCTAGTTGTTTGTGAAAACCCTTGGTATCTGCCGGACTACCAATCTTTAGATTTTATTGGCTTGAGTGAAATACTCTATCTCCTGATCAATTATGGATGTTACATTCATCCATCCGTCTCTAACTGGTTTTTTCCTTGGCTAATTGATGACTGCCTGCAATTGCACTCATGTAACAGATCACACTTGACGTTATTTCTTTGGATGCAGATCTGTTTTGGCCAGGTGACTACTTTACACCTATATCAAGGAGCATTTGTGGACATTGGAGGAGTATATGAAGGGTAATCTATCCATCGTCTTGGTCTTCTTTCCTTCTTTCTATATTGTTTTTTACTCCCTTTTCTTAGATCTGAGAAAGCATCGAAAAGAACATAATCCAACCTTTTTAGTTTATTTGTTTCTCTAATTTTGTTGGAGGATGTAGTCTACTGCATGATTGTCAATTCTCCTTTAAATAATTAAGCTTCTACCCTCTCTCCCTAATTTATAAAACTGAATACCCCTATCTTCTTGTTTCATTTACCATAAGCTTTTTTTTTTTCGTTGTGTGTATGATCAATCTACTCACCAATCAAAACACTTTAAAATCATTGGAATTTATCAGTTCCTTTCAAAAGGGCCACTTTGTGAGAACTGAGAAACTTTCTTTCTTTTCTTTTTCTTTTTCTTTTTCTTTTTCTTTTTTGGCCATCTAACTATTATCATAATTTATTAGTTTTAGTATCATCTTCCGGTATTTGCTTTGCCAATTTTATGCTTGGTATACATCATTGATTAATTAGTTAGGAGAATATAGTTGTTAATTGTCACTATTGTCATCTAATTAAAACAATAACACAACCAAAGCCTTAATCCCAGAGATGGGGTCGACTACATGAGCCTAGATTATATCGCCAACCATGATTCTCTCCTTCTATTCCTTTCTGTCCAATGTTATATGCTTCTGCAAACCCAACCTCTCCATGTCCTTAAACTCATTCCATCGGTCCATCCAAGTCATTATTGGTCTTCCCATGCCTCTTATAAAGACCCCCTTGCCTCAACCCTCTACTATCCTTACTAATGCGTTTTCCAATCTCCGTGTCTTCCAATCTCCGCTTGAATACTTAACCCAACACGATTGGTTCTCCCTTTTTTTTTATACTTGTTGACTTATTGTCATCTCATCATAATAGACAAAAATATTGCTGCATTATGTATGAGACGGAAAAACAAAGAAATGCAACTATTTACCCATTATATTGGAGTTTTAAAGAAGTAATATTGTTGTATTATAATTGTGCTTCAGTGTGAGAGAAATGCGTTTTTTCCCAATTTATTGTGCTTTGGGTAAAATCTGATGATTTGTTGATGATTATTGTGCAACCGGAAAACTGATACATGAAGGATAAAAAATTTTAAATAATAAAAAAAAAAAACACTGTTTTCTTACAATTGATAAAATTAACCTTCATCCCGGCTACTCGTTATCCTGGGCATAGTATGTCCAATGTAAATTGCTCCTACACATATTACATACTCAAGCAGCCTATTCAAACAAACAATTTTCTGATGTTACGCAGTATCATTCATAAATAACACTTTTCTTTATCTATATGGTTTTCGTGGCTCTTACATCAGTTATATGAATATTGAAATTGCATGCACTATCCTTCGTAATGTAACTTTCTATAACGTGGAAATGAGAGGCATGGAGAAGGAGGGCCAACAATCCTCCTGGGTCAAAGAAAAAAGAAAAACAGCACTGCAGTCATTGTACATATGAGAAAGGAATTCTCGGTTATAGGTAAAGCCCACCGGTAAGAAGCTACTCTCTCCTGCAAAATAAAGTCACAAGACCTAAGATCTAGAAGATTCAATCACCTCTCAAGAAAACTCACCAACATGATACCAAAGGAAGCTGATTGCCCTATTATCTTCTCCACCTTGTGCACAGTGCACTTATGTGTTATGCTGAAAGTCAGTAAGAAACCTTAGGTGCTGCAAATTGGCAGCGGGACATCCCCAATGGATAACCCCAGCCATTTTTAAGAACTGGTTCCATGGTTAACAACTGGCTTGGAGAAAGGGATTAACTAGTTAGGTAAGGTAGAAACTCAAAAAATAAGCCAGATTAGAGAGAGGAAGGGTATATGCTGAACATTATAGAGGGTTTTCTGTTACTTATTTTACAATTTGGGAGAGAGCAAGCCTCTTGAAAGCATATAACCATCCTAATCTACTGCTGTTTTTCAGATATGATCTAACCAATGTTCATCTTCTATTCTTCTTCACTTAATCTCTATATTTCATCTTTGAATCTGTCTGAAGCTAAGTTGATTCTTAGCAAATACTTGCCTTTGTTAGTTCTAGCATCTAACCTTTGTCTGAGAGTCTTCCCTACTAATATGCTTTTGTGCACCATCTGTTTCAGGTGGGTTCCTATTAAAAACAATGATTGGTACTGGATTCGCCAGCATATAAAAGTCGGTATGCATGTTATGGTTGAGATTTTGGTGAGTAATCCAAATATTTGTTTGTGCATTGCTTCTTTTTATTTATTTTTCCTCTTTGAAGAACTGAGGACCCACACATTTTGACTTTTGAGCAGTCCTATGAGTCCTATCAATATTTCCCCTCGTCTTTTATAACAAGTTATAAGCTTGCCTTATTAACTTTGTTCTAAATTCATATGGAGTTGCAACAGAATATTGAGATAGTTACAGGACTTGATGCATGCTTCATGCATCATAATTTATTTTGGTGTGTGTGTGTGTTTGTGTGTGTGCGCGCGAGCGTGTGGGTGTAGGCATGTGTGTGTGGGACTTGTATTTATCCATTCTATCCTCAACTTCATGCATCGTAATTTATTCTGGTGTGTGTATGTGTGTGAATTTGAAACAAGAGGCCCACTATCAAAGTCTTTTTCTACTTTCTGTTATAATACATCTGCTTATGATGCAATTACTGGTCAGAGGTTCCTCATGTTCTGATGCAGTAAACTGTTCCGCTGTAAACTGTTTCTCTGTTTATGTTCATTTCTGAATCTAAGGATACTAAATACTTCATAGAAATTTGCAAGGGAGATTAAAGACTTCAGATACATAAACAGATTGTCAATTAGTCTTCAAATTTGTATATTTGCAAGTGCCAGTGTGCTTTATCTTGCTAGTAGATGGACTTATTAATGGCTCTGTGTCTGACATCTTACTTTGCATTTCAGGCTAAGAGAGATCCTTATCGGTATAGATTTCCTCTTGAATTACGTTTTGTCGACCCAAACATTGATCATCTTATGTAAGCAGTTCCCTTCCTCATTAATTTCCTCAAAATTTTAGTACTCTATTATTATTTGATGCTTGAATTCTCCTTCACTCAAAACATTGGTCTCCATTTTTGCAGCTTTCAAAGGTTTGAATATCCACCAATATTTCATCGTGATGATACTAATCTTGATGAATTACGAGTAAGTATATTACTTCTCTCCATAGATTGCTGTGTTGTATTTTTTTTTTTTTTTTTTTTTTTTGATGTTGATTTGCAATGTTGTATATACCAAGAAAAATTGATGTTTAATTGCAATGTTTGCTCACAGCCTCACACTATACATTTGGCGATGTATCCTAACTCTTTGACCCATTGTTTCTCCAAGGCTTTTTCACCCCCTACTGTAGCTTATGTCAGTAGTGAAGAAGCCATAAGTCTATGATTGCAGAGAGGTTGTTTCAGTTCAATTCTTGATCTGAAAAATAAAAGCAATGTCTGGCGGTCTGGCCTACTAGTCTTCTACGGTTTCACCTCATAAAATGTAAGAAGTAAAGGACAATTTGCTGAGGATTGCTTTCAAAACATGGAAATTGAATAAAGAAATCCATGTCCATAATAGGGAGGGCTAAGGGAACTTTCTCTAGCCAGTAGCCCAGTACCCAGCATAGACCAGTATAAAAAAAAGACCTTTTTTTTTTAGTTGAAGGTTCCAAACGGATTGCCAAAGGAAAAACAGTCATTTTGATATTAACATCTTCAATCGCTTTTGACTAATTTCCTTTGAACCTATCCACTCTAGACTTTTCTTTGGCATCTAGGCTATTGTCCCAATTACTAATTAGTGACCCTCTTAAATCCGGCTAGCAGTTATTAATCGTGAAGGGTACGTCTTCATTTCAATCTTAACCTTCGGCTTTGTTTTTCATTGGTTTTTCTATCAACCTCAATTCAGAAAATCCTCTCTCCATCCATGCTCTCTTAGCTTTGGTAAAAATTATGTTTAATACCTTTAGTAAATTGTTTTAAGAAAAGAAGTTGGATGCATTGTTTAAGTTGTTAATTCCCCTGCTGAATGTTGGAGTTTGGTTTGATTTCAAATTTTAAATGAAATAAAGCTATTCTCAAACAAATCACATTTGCATGCGGTGATTTTAATAGATATAAAGCGAGGAGGTGATTGTGTCTTATCTTATTTGAAAGTTGTTCCTGTTTGTACTCTAAATTGAAGCTGCTTTGTATTCAGCGTGATTGTAGAAGGCCTCCTGTTCCCAGAAAAGATCTAGGAATCAAAGTAGAAGAAGAGTCTCTTTTGTCTGATCATCCATATGTTGACAAGGTAAAAATAAGGTTGATGCTGATTTTCCAGACTTTTTCACTATCTTATGTTTACATCTTAAATATTTTAATCGTTATATATTCAATGAAAAGATAAACTTTGTATCTTGACGAAACACTACATAGCTTAGTCAGTTAGTTGTATAACTATTCTGTTTAGAGGGAACAAACATCAGTCTATGCACTGATTCTGTTGAAGCGAAGAGCCACTGCAAGTAGTGTGTAATGTAGATTAGATAATTTTGACAGAAATCAGAAACATATATAGAAAGAGAGAAATTTGGAAGAAAGTGAACCTCTTACATCACCATTTGCAAGACTAAGTTATACTTTAACCATTTACTTGTTCCATATCATGCAGCTGTGGCAGATTAATGTAGCTGAGCAAATGATCTTGGATGATATGGAGGCTAATCCTGACAAATATAAAGGGAAGAAACTGTCAGAACTTACTGATGAAGAAGAGTTTGATGAGCAAAATTGTGTGGAACACACAAAAGTTTATTACAAAAACTCGCTGTTGCCAAAAACAATATTGGTAAGCATAATTTGTCTGCCAAATCACTAATTATAGTTTTGAGTTGGCGTGTTGGCAGTACTACTACTGATGTTCTTCATGTGCTTGACAGAAAACAAGTGTCAAGGAACTTGATTTGGAATCAGCTTTTGCTGAGCGCCAGGTTGATCACTTGCTCCTCTTATTAAATGTTTCATTTTCTCTACCCCTTCCCCCTCCGGTTTCATTTTCTCTACCCCTTCCCCCTCCGGTTTAAAAGAAGAAAAAAAAAAACTAAAGAGAATGAGCAGAGGGAAAAGAAATTATTGGACAACTGACCAAATTGAAATGAAGCTCTACCGTTCTCGAATTCTCATACTATAAAAAGATAGGTGCCTTATTTTAGTTGCCTATGGTCATTGATGATCAGTTTATGAAAATTACCATCACTATGAATACTACGTAACATAATGTAGAAGACAGCAAGTTTTGGCACAGTTTTGTTACCTAATTACCAAGGAGATGTTATTATCCGTGTGTATTATCTTAGTGCTTTGCTTATACATGTTTTCCTTTCTTCAGCTTCACAATAGACTCCAAAAAGAAGCAGAAGAAAGAGGGGAGAACTACAAAGTTGACAAACTAAGACGAAACATAGAGATGGATGAGTATGATTTCATCCACTGGCGTCGTTCGTTTGAGGAAAGAGAAGCTCTTCTGCGAGACATAAGCTGGTATTTTTACTACTCTTAGGTGCATTAAACGCATCAACTTTTTTCTTATTTTGGGCCTTTGACCTGTATGATCCTCCTCACCCCCATCCCATAAAATAATTGGGTAAGAGCAAACTGACTGCGGGTAATAGCGACTAAAAGAAGATAAAACCTGGTGTTTCTTCAATTATTGGAATTTAAAGGTATGGATAATGTGACAATTTGGCTGCAGTCATCGTATGAAGAAAGCCAACTTATACTAGGGTTTTGGGAAATGACATTAATGTAAACTATATTTAACAAACTCAGTGATTTAAGTACTAAGACTCGAATTTATTGCAGTCGCCGAGCTCTTGGCCTACCACTACAAGAACCAGGGAGATATGTTGATCCCAGTATTCTTGGCAAAGATCAATATGATGCTTCTCACCCCTTGTATCGCTATGACTATTGGGGAGAGCCAAAGAACTCGGAGAAGAGTAAGCAGGAGCGCATGACAGATGCTCACAACAAATCTATTGTTGGAAAGGGGAATGTTTGGTATGAAATGTCTTATGAAGACGCAATTGAGGAAATGAAGCATAGGGAAACCCAACCAAAGGACATTGCAGAGAGGCAGACAGACGAAGAATCATATTTAGATGACGATAGTGATGATGATTTTGACTACAGCATTCTAAGCGACTTGAGTGCTGAGTATGCTAGCCAACCTCATGTGAATGGGACAGAATCACCCAGCATATCAGATGAGGGTATGTTTGAAGATTAGTTTGCAACTTTGCAATGAATCAGAAGAAAAATCTGTCAGATGTACAGTAAATTTTTTCTTAGGAAAGTAGGAAAAATCAGTGCACACTTCCAGTAGTATGAGAGCAATTAATAGTTGAGGGTATTGAGTATTATATACTTAAAAATTTGTTGTGTTATAATGAGATGTCTATCTCTAAACTCAAGGATTTGGACTTTTGTACAGATCGAATAGAAATGAATTTTCTTGAGCATGATTTTGGCTTAGTTTTGCTTTGCAAATGGATTGAAGATCAGCTTAATTTTTTGCTCTTCTTATCTCAGTTGTGCCGTTAGACATGTTTTTCCACCATTATTTGCCTGAATAATTGGGATGAAGGTGAGAAAATATACTACTAATAAAAGGTTTTGTTCGGTTCACCTTATATTTACTTTTTTTTTTCTGAGTTCAGCAAAAATAAGTTCAAAGAATGTTTTAGATAGGTTCTAATAAAGGTTAATAAGGGCTACCAGCCTATACCATCCATTAAACGAAACTGGTTGCACACCTGCCTGCGAATGGTAACCACTAAGACAACTGCCAACTGTTGCTTCCATTGGCATAACATTACTTAACGGTCATATTGCTTAAGACTGGCAACAGATTTGGGGAAGACGATGCTGAAGATGATCAAGAATTTAGTCAGATTTGAAGAATATGCAAATACACTACGGATTAATTAAGAATGTAAAAGTCATGCGACAATCAAATTAAAACATGTTGAAACTACTTATATATAATAAATTACCCTTGGGACCAGGCCAAGAGTAAACAATGGATAGGCCCCGGGCAATTTAGAACTAGATCTGGCGCTGCCCCAGGAGAAAACACAGTTTCTTGATTAAAACAAGCAAGTTTGCTCCATATACTGGGGGGGGGGGGAGTCTTTCTGCACGGAGAAAATGCGGTAACCGGTAAAGCCCAGATTTAAACCAAGGCAAATAGAAAAACAATCGTTCAACACTCTACGCATTTGTAAGATATAGAGAGCATAATATTACGCATAATGCAAAACTCTAAAAACATCAGGATTCAGGTAATTCAATTGTTACAACACTGAAATAGCTTAATAAAAAGGCTTTCAGCTGGTTGTCTACTCAAGGAAAACATTTTCCAGAATCCTTTGACAGTTTTCTTCCAGTGGAAAGATTAATCTTTTTCAAGGAATATTAAAATTCAGTTCACAACATTCTCAATTGAACCAAACATAACCTAAAGGAAAATTATGTTTCTGAAGGGAAAAATTTAGGAATACAAATCTTGATTAATCTTGCACACATCTGCTCCAAGGCATACCAATAAAATTTGATATTGATTAATCTTTTCATCAAAGTTACCAGCTATAGAGTGAAAGACAAAACCGACAAGAGTTCCAATTTCCTTCCATATCTCAGTCTCAATTCAATAACCATCAATCCAGGCCGTAAATCCAAATGAATACTCGCTAAGCTGATACCAGCGAACCTCTTACATCACCATGCCCCCATCAATTGTCAAAACCTGCACTCAAGATAATGAATCAATATGTTCGCGATAACTGAAAATATCAAATGCGCAATTACAAAGTAGCGGCAATACCTGTCCAGTGATATAACTGGCAGCGGGGTTAAGTGCCAAAAATTCCACTAGTCCAGCAACTTCCTCGGGTTGACCATATCGTCCTGTATATATTTTCCAAGACATTAGAATCACCTTTGTATTATATACTGTAATTTTTTAAAGTATAAATAGTAAAACCACCCTTCATCAAAAAAAAAAAAATGCAGCAACTCATGACTTACCAAGGGGGATATTCTCCAGAATTTTCTTCTCAATGTCGTCTCCAAGCTTGGCTGTCATATCAGAGGCAATGAATCCTGGGGCAACAGCATTAACCTATAGAACATTGCCAGTCAGTTACAGTGAATAAGCACACTAAAGGCATATAAAATTCTGGTTCGAGGTATAGTTGTATAGATGAGTAATACTTAAAACACATGTACCTTTAAGCCCCGGATGTTTGGTTCACTTTATATAAAATTTCATAACTGCTCTTATACATTTTATTGCTCCCTCCTCCCCTCTCTCCTCCCAACTTCTGCATTTTTGGTGCTAACCGTGTCACCCACACCACCAATTCTCTTCCTCCTACCTTCTTTCCCCTCTTTACTCCCTCCACTGGGCAACTTCAATCTGAAGGAATGCCAATGAGATCCCAAAATGCTAATGCCTAGCATTCTAGAAGTGCTAATCAGATCAAATCAATACTTAGATCTGGAGCACTTTATCCCCAAATGTTTGTAGTGTTGTTAAACTTCACGACATACACTAAACCCCTAATTTAATTGCAATGGCAATGGAGGAAAAGGAAGGGAGGAGAGGGGACGCAACAGTGAAAGAGGGAGACGATGGTAAGATAACAATGAGTGGTAGGCGGTAGCTGCAATAATGGTATTGACTTATTTCTAGACGATAAATCTGACTCCATGGGCCTCCACCCCCCCCCCCCCCTCCTCTCTTGTTAGGGTACAGATAACCTATAACTTGGGGGGTTTGGAGGGTGGAGCAGCTAGTGTATACTAACCAAATATTAGATACTGATACCTAAAACCAGTGAACCAAATGCCCACTTACCACAATACTCAATATAATGATATTTATGACATTTACAGTGATAATGATGGTGTCAAAGGGATAGAAAAAGGGGACACTATGTCTCGTAACTCTCTTACTGCATAAATACATTTGAGCTTATATGATGATTAAGAATTTAAATACTTGCATTAATATTCCTGCTGGCATACTCCTTCGCTACAGATTTCGTGAAACCAATAACACCGGCTTTTGCAGCACTATAGTTTGCCTGCCCAGCATTGCCCATAAGACCAACCACTGAAGCTACATTTATGATTCTCCCCTGTATATATAGTCAAAGAACATCCAGAAGTAAATGAGTCATGAAAAATTCAAAAAAAGCAAAAATCATGTAAGCATCATTTGATTAACATCATATTAATACTTCTTAATTTCAGGTTATTCAATTTTCAACATGCTTAATCTTCACCATGAAAAAGCAAGATTTTACAAATACCTTTCTCTTCTTCATCATAACTTTTGAAGCAGCCTGCAACAAGGAAACAACTCCTCATACTACAAACTTAACAATCAATAGACCACACACCGCAAAGTATAGATGATTGCACAAACCTGAGTGCAAAGAAACACCCCGGTGAGATTTAAATCAATGACGTCTTGCCACTGTGATTTTTTCATTCTCATCAATAAGCCATCTCGCGTAATACCTAAACAGCATGGAACATTATGGTCGTGAAATTTTCTCACTGAGAAAAAAAAACTTGATGTCTATAGCAGATGAGATCTATCAAGTCACAATATTTTGGAGAAGAAATCAGGGTCATAGAGATAGATGATTTAACCTGCATTATTCACCAATACATCAACAGTTCCCCATGCATCTACAGCCTGCAAATGTAATTTAGATAAGGTCCATTAATCAGTTTCCTCTGATGGTTAAACAGAATTATTTAGATAAGAAATTGTGCTTGGAGCATTATTGAAGTTTATTACAGAGCAAGGAAGCTCACAGTCTTTATCATTGATTCTACATCTTCTTCTTTTGATACATCACCCCCAAATGTAAGAGCTTGACCTCCACATGACTCAATCTGTGAGCATATTAAAACAAAAATATTCATAAAACTAAAAGAAACAATCAGAGTCTTGAAACAATAAAAGAAAAGGAAGAGATCTGAAATAAAATAATAAAATGTACATTTATAGCACCAAAGCTTCAACAACAGCAACAATGTTGCTTCTATGCCAATTACTGCTCTTTATTACTCAAACTTCAGAAATAATACCCTTCAACAGCATTAAGAGAAAAATTTGTTTTTTAATGACCAGAACTAGCTCACTGACACTATATATACTTCTCTGTTCACTGATTATTGCATCATTTACATTTTAAGGAAATTTCACAAATATTGCACCATACCCATTTTAGGAAAACAAATATCTCCTTTCATGCTACACGTGTTGCTTTAGTTACTGAATCCAATCACATAGGCAAATTTATGATTTTGCCTCTCTCTCCTTCCGTTCCCAATACCTAAAATCTTGTGCAATCCCCACATGGTGCAATATTTTGGGAGCAGAGGAAGTATTATAGTAAACCTTAAACCAATGACCAACAAATAAGAAAACGAGAAAATGGTCTCAAAGAAAGATTATTAACTAAGAGAACTTGATTCGCAAAACATTCATCTCTGATATTATTTTTATGCAAATGCTTTTCATAATATTGAGCAAGGGTTTCTGACTTTCAGGTCATCACAATAGTATTTTAACATAACAGCCTACAACTGTATCCAAGTGAAATTAACAACAATCTTAGTAGCTACACCATTAGGTCTCGTAACTCTCAGAAAGTTACTTACAAACTCATTTAATTCTAGTGACATAGGAACACAACGGAGACCTATACAGCCCTTACACAAACCAAAGCAAATGGACAAAGACCTATGAGTACAGAAAAATCAATAATGACGTGGAACAAATGCACTAACAGCAAAACATATTTTAGTGAAAGATGAAAAGCAACAATGATTTTAAATCTAAATTTTGAGTTCACAAGTCCAACAAAATTTAATAGACAAATATTAACCTCTTTAGATACTTCTTCCGCCTCCTTTGATGACCTCGCATAGTTTACAAGGATCTGTAGCAATACATCCAGTTCAAGTTTAATAAACAATATGCAGATTGCAGAGGTCATGCTTTGATTGCTATGAAACCCAGTTTAGTGTAAACCGTCCAGCAATCTCAGAAGGGAAAAAAAAAAAAGAAAAGAAAAGAAAAATGACAATGTCTTAATATATTTTGCAATCTCATTATTTCTCTTTTTCCACAACACCAAATTTGCCCAACTTTAAGTAAATTTCATTCCAAAACCCTAAACTTTCACACTCAAATGGTTAGGACTCTTAGGGGCTGATTTAAAGGTTATATTTAATTCAAAATTTGCATTTCTCCTTACTACTTTCAAGTCTTTTTCAATTAGATTTACAAAATGAGGAAGAAACAAAATTGAGTTCCATAGGAGCTTCAATTTGAGATTAACTACACTAAATTACCCAATATGTGTTAACTACGAACCTTACACCCAGCCTTTCCCAACGTTAATGCAATAGCTCTCCCTATTCCTCTAGAAGCTCCAGTGACAACAACAACTGGGGATTCAACTTGTTGCACCGTATCAACAGCAGCTTGTTCAGCAGTT